GGATTGTGGATGTGGCAACTGGGGAGAGGAATGTTTGGATTGTGAAGATGAAAAGAAAGAAGTATTTCATGGTTAAGGCAGTGGATTGGGACTCAGGAAATCTGTGTTTAATTCCTGACTCAGCCACTGACTTCCTGTGTGACGTTGGATAAGTCACTTTGGGCCTGATTAATAGAGGTTCCGAGCACCCACAACTCCAGTCAAAGTCCAGGGACGCTTCAGATACTTTAGCACCTCTAAAAATCAGGGGTGAAATCGTGGCTTCATTGAAATCAATGAGGCTTGAATTTCACGCTCTGTGCCTCAATTCCCTATCTGTAAAATGGGGATAATAATACTTCCCTACTTCACAGGGGCTCTGATTGTAGGGCACTCATATCCTAAGACAAGGGGAGCCATAAATATTCCTACATAGATAGTGGAGTAGGAAAAGGGGAATGCTGGCATTGTGTGTGGGTGTGGCCACTGGACAATGCTTAAACATGCATGTGGAAAATGAGGCTGGAGAGCATAGTACCACCATTTCCTCCCAGGTAGGACCAGTAGGGAGATGAAGTAGGTTTGCATTTTACCCCGGTGATTCAAGGCATGTGCAGTTTACCATCTAAAGAGCTGTTTAATCATCAGAGGGGGACCCAAAGAGCCTCCAAAACATGAGACCTATTTACAATACCAAAGTGTGTAACAAGGTAATTTTTAAGTAATAATATATTTGTCGAAACAGTCCAGTTAAAGCTACAGTATAAGAAGTTTCACTTATTTGAGCTGGCTACCACCACAGATCTAGATCTAAACCATCTGTCTGAGCGTCCTGTCTCTGTAACTGCTGCAATATATTATCAGGACTTGACATGAATGCCAATTCATCACACAGCCAAAAAAAAAAAAAAAAAAAAGCTGCATGCAATGGAGAACTATGGGCAGAGTATAATGGATTTAAAGGCAGAGTAATGTAACTCTGCATAAAATCCCTAGCTACTGCTTTCCTGAGCTGATTTTGCTTGAGTGTATCATCTTCTGGTACTTTAAAGAGTTAATATCCCTACAATGGCTTGATTTAAAGTAAATGAGAGTGAGCAGATAGGTGAGTGGCACATCACAAGGTATTGCAAAAGTGAAGGGGGGAAATAGCCCTATAAAAATCCCCTACATGTTTTGCAAACTGCATAATTTGCAATGGCCCATGGCTCTCCTACATACAAGTTAGATGTAAACAACAGATGCTGTAAAATGGAGCAAGGCAAATGTCAGAGCTTTTGTTATTGATACCTCTTCCTGTTATAGAGAATGAGTGTGTAATTCTTTTATAGGACAGTATATAATTGCTGAAAAAAGCACACACGTGTTTGTGCTTGTGGTTCTTATGTGCTTTTTCATTTACTATTGCTATTTTCTCCTGCTATGAAGTCATTTATATTTTGGCATCTGCTCTGAACCTAAGTTAAATTAAGTTTTCAGTAGTAAATGTAGGTAGATTTTATCATACAGTTCTAATAAAAGAAGTGCTGTGTCGTTCTTTTCAGTTCAGTAAACTCTTTCCAGGAATATTAGACTTAAGTACATTGTGGGATACTGACAATCTCAAAGAAGATAACTTAAATCACACAGGACCTGATCCTGCAGAACTGCAAATGCCTTCCATAAGGTGTTCGGATACCAAGGTGAGAAGCATGGCACGTAAGCCCAGCTGGCTAATTTCATGTGAATGAAACAAGATCAGGTTCCTTAATGATTATTTTCTTTATTTTAAAAAAATGCTTGAATTCTTTTTAATTTTGTGTCTTAAACTCCTATTACCCAGCAACATTCAATCTCCTAATTGGAATCTCTATAGCAATCTTAAGGGAGTAGTTACTAATAGGAAACAGGTACCAGTGTCAAACCAGTACTTGTACATTATCAGATATACGTGTACAACCCTGACTTGAATCTCTTTAAATTCACCTGGGTCTTCTTCCTGTACGAAGAGCTGCCATAGGCAATCTCCCAGGTACTTGGACAAATCTTTTAAAAGTGTTTTGTTACTGTTTATTATTAATTGTTATTTGTATTATGGTGGCCATCCTTAGATACCAGGCAAGATCAGAGCTCTACTGTGCTAAGGCATGGTGAAAACATGTAATGATCAGTTCTTTTATTTATAAAATGTAAACTTGGGTCCTAAACTACCTGACACTGACCTTTTAATAATCCTTTCTGACTATCTTTAGATAATTATCTTTTTCCTAATTGCACCTGTATACTCAGTGTGGGGAAAAAACTTATCTGCAACATTGATGCATAGATATATAGATGTATAGATCATTAAAAAGGCATTAAATATTTTTAGAAAGACCCAGCGTCAAACATGCTGGGCAAATTATGCATTTATTAATTAACAATACAAGAAAACTAAATCACAGCTGGAACAGTGCAAACAGGATGGAGGGCTGCCCTGACAGGATATCAATGGATTCCCTGGGTCGCATAAAGCTGGTGTAGCTTCCTTGGTGTGGGGGATCAGGGATGTGACAGAAAGCAGGAGCCGGGGGATCAGTTTGGAGCACATTCGGCTCCAGTAATCTCTTGTCAGTGCAGCAGCAATCCTCTGAGGGAGCATTTTTGCCAACACAGAGCACAGCAGCCCTTGGCTTGGTCTCCAGTCCATATTAGGATCAGGGGAACAGAAACGTAGCTTTCTGGTTCCTACACTGAGCATATTTCATCTGGCTCTAGAGATCTGGCCCAATCTATTTAACCAAGAAAAGAGTTGTGACTTCGAGTCAAGCAAAAGAAACACTTATGCAGCTAAAAGAATATCCAAAGGAGATTCTCCAAAATGACTGGTTCTGCCAGATTCTTTATCAGTTTTCACATTTTCAGCAGAGTGACTGACAATGTTCTTTTCTCAACATTTATTCTTTACATGTGAAGATCCAACTCCTGCCATTCTTACTCCTCATTTTGGCAGGATTTGATCCTAAAGGCAAATCTGATTTTAAAAGCATAGGGTATTGTAGACTCAGGCTCAGCAAGTCTATAAAACAGCAGTGCAGCCATTCGAACTCAGGCTGGAGCTGGGCTCTGGGACCCCTTGAGGGGGGAAGGTCCCAGAGCCAGGGCTCCAGCCCGAGCCCGAACATCTACACTGCAGTTTTGAAGCCCCACAGCCCGAGCCCCATGACCTGGGCCAGCTCTGGCTCTGCTGCAGCTCTTGTATCAAGCACACATAGGGTGACCAGACAGTAAATGTGAAAAATCAGGACAGAGGGTGGGGGGGTAATAGGAGCCTATATAAGAAAAAGACCCAAAAATCAGGACTGTCCCTATAAAATCGGGACATCTGGTCACCCTAAGCACACACCCTTAAAGACAGGTTTAGGGGCCCTATTTCCCTAGAACAGCTGTGTTACTCCAGAGATTTGTGACTATAATGCCTCCATCCTTTGGGTAGTTAAATTCTAGCCCAAAGGGATAATATTAATACTTGCATTTCTATAAAACCTTTCATCCCAGGATCACAAATCAACTTACAAACCTCACTGAGCTTGATTCCCTAATCTGTAAGATAGGTCAACATTATCATCTCCATTGATCTTGTACTGGTGGGTGAAATAACCTGCCCACAGTCATAGCAAGGCAAGTCCAAAGCACAAGAAAAGTAAGTGGATTCCTGTATTCCTGCACTCCCATGAAAATTTCACAACTCACCACCCATCATAATCTACCTCTGGCAAGCGGGACGTGAATGGTGTGTGTGATAAGGTGCGGATGTGTGTTGAGGTGCATAGTAGATTGCATCTCAGTGCTTGATTTCCCAATCTGGCAGAACAGAGGGAAGAAATGTATTTCAGGGACTGATATACCCCCATCCACCGCCTCTCCTCCACACCCCACATACACACTCACATAACCATGGCACTTTGAGGACCTGCCAGTCATAAGTCTAGCCCTGGGTAATACAGTAAGTCAGTGGTAGAACTCAGGAATCCTGATTCTCAGTTCCTGTTCTCACTACCAAACAGGACTTTTACATTGATTGCATCCCTGACCAAAGGGTCTCTAACTGTGAATTATGTGTGAAACACCTCTTGGCAGTGGGACAGTGCTCCAATGAACCAGTTAGTCTGTACGGAATTAGAATTCCACAGTTGTGTGTCATAGGACCTATACTCATAATTGCTACCGGGGATTCTTTCTGAGCTCAAAGGGCAGGGGCCTGTGTTTTGGAGCAAGAGGACTGGAATCCTGTCCCTGCTGCCACCATGAAGTTCTGCGTGGCCAGGACATGCCGTTTAGGGTACGTCTACGCGGCAGGTAGGAGTGTAATTTCTGGCTTGGGTAGACATACCTACACTACTTTTGTCAAGCTAGCACTGTAACAATAGCAGTGTGGGTACACGGGCAGCAGCACCAGCTAGCCGCCCGAGTGCATACCCAAGGGGTTGGCAGCTCAGTGCCCCAGCAGCACTGCTATTTCCAGCATGCTAGCGCCAGGCGAGTGAGCACAGGTCTGACTCCCCCAGATGGAAATGACACCTTCCGCCGCAGCGCAGACGTACCCTTAGGGGACAGCTGTGAACTCCTAGAGGGCGACGGGTTTATTTCAGTCTTAGCATCCCTGTTTTCCGGATGGGGGGACGGGAGGCACAGAAAGGGGAAGGCCCCAACCTCAGCAGCGCCCCAGCCCCAGAACTCCCAATGGGGGTTGGCACAGAGCACTTACAAGAGCCACCCCTGGGTGACTCCCCCCAGACAAAACACCCAGTGGCACAGGGAGTGGGAACAGAGCCCGATCCCTGCTCTGACCACTAGATCCCTCTGCCTTCCTAGAGCCCCAACGCCTAGTCGCCTGCCCTAACCATTAGCCCAGACTCCCCTGAATGCCCAGCCTGTGGCTAGTACCGCGGCGCGGGGGCTAGCTTGGGAGAGCTGCTATTCCACACAGTACGGTAGGTGTGAGCTCCGCCCCGGTTTACCCTCTCCTCCCCCGGCCCGGGAGCAGCCAGCGCCGCGCAGCAATGCGAGCCGGGCTGGCGCCCTGCGCACGGTGCCTTGGGCTGCGCCCCGCCAGCCCCCGGGTGTCGAGTCTGGCTGCCGCCGGCCAGCGCGCGGGATGAGGAGCCCGTGCGAGGCGTTCCCCGGGGACTGAGCCTCCCTCCCTCCCGCTGCACCATGAAACTCTACTGCAAGGTGGTGGCCATCCTGCTGTGCCTGGGGACCCTGCTGCTGCTCTACCTCTTCGTGGGCAACGCGGATGAGCCGCCGCCGCTGCAAGGGGCCGGAGAAACTCGCTTGCTGCCCGTTTCCTCCGGACCCGGGGGCCGCGCCCACCCACTCTTTGCACATTTCCAACCCGTCCGGGCAGCGCCGGAGGAGGAGGAGGCGGCGGCGGCTCAGATTTCCAAGCGAGAGCCACGTCTCAGCAAAAACCCCGGCAAGCGAAGTCCTGCGAGAGGGAAGTTTGCAAACGTTCGGTAAATGCGGCGGCTTTTGTTTTATTTTTCCATGGCTTGGCTGCAACAATAGAGGAGGGGGGGGGGGGGGGGGGGGGAAATGCCCGGGGTAAGTTTGCAGGGAGGGGGGGTCCGGGAATCTAGAGATCCACTGGCTCGTGAGCGATCCTAATTCTGCTGCTCGGGTGGCAGCCGTTTGGGATCGGAGCTTCCTTGGCTGGAAGCGGGAGCCTTCCTCTGCGCTATCTTGGCACTGGAGCCGCAGCCCCGGGAAGGCAGTCTGTGTGGACTGGTTGGTGCCCCGGGTCAGTTTCGGCGTTAGACTCCTCATGGGTCTAGTCGTGGCAAAACGACACCAGAATGCACGTTCCTGGGGAAGAACTTTCAGTTTCCTTTCACCAACTTTAATCCCTCTGATTTGAGTCGCACACTGACCTTTTCCTTTGCTTTTTAACTCCTCCTCAAATAGCCCAGTTTTTTCACTCTTGAGTTTGGCAAATACATCACGCTTTCTCCCGCTTTAGGTTGCAAGGCCACGGATTAGTTGCATTGCATACAATAATTGTAAGCGTGTAAACTGCTTCGCCTGTCTTTTAATCGACTTTTCCTTAGAACACCAGTGTCTGAGACCCCCTGGAAATGCAACGGTTCTGTTCCTAACCCTGTAGAGAATTCCTATTTCTGTACAGGTAACAGACGTGTGTGGCTCACCTTTGTGAGAAAGCAGCCTTTATAAGCAAAACCATTCTTACTGGTTTTGTGGTTCTTTTGAAGTATAAGGCTGATATTTTTTTATTTTATTTTTTTTTAAAGATTACAAATAGGTGAGAAATTTCTGTCAACCTCAGAGGCTAAACTTGGGCTCATTTTGTGTTGACACTGAGTGAAAACAAAATGAAATGTGAATATTTGCGTATGGCATTAATAACATTCGAATGTATTTTATAGAATGATTTGGAACTAAACAGTTAAGAGAACAATGCTGTTATACATGAGTGTGGTTAGGAAAACTTTGCTAAATGATGTTTAAATTAATGTGATCTAGCCTTTTAAAATATTTCGCAACTAGAATATTCTTTAAAAAAGGTACTATGATTATGAATCAGAAAAGTAAAAATATTTGCACTGTTTTTTTCTGTGGGTAGACTACTCTTTTTCTCTTCTGCATTTTAGTTGTATTATGGTGAATGTGACTAAACTATCAAATGAACTTTGGATGTCTTTGATTCATGATTTCACAGAGATGTTCTGAATGAAAGACTGTCCCGTTTTATAAGATCTTATTTTTTAAGCTATGAAAGCAGTTGGTTTCTTACAAACATTGTATCATATTGAGTGCAAGTGATGTTTACTGTGACTGGGAATGGATCATGAACAGAATTCAAATTGATGTATTAAAGCAGGATTATTTACATTAGCAACTGTACCTCCTGGAGTCATTTTTCTTTGGAGCATATCTCTTAGATTATCATGGAAATCATGGACAACACTAAAAGAATGAAGAGTGAAAGTAGCCAAATCTTCTGAAGAGGGTAAACAACCCTCTCATTTCAATGACTAAGAATCATCTCATGTTCTGAAAATTTGACAGTATCTCGGCTTTATTTATGTATTGAATTTTGAAGTACTTTTACAAGGTCTGCACAAGGAAACATTGTTAATCAGGAGCACTGCCAAAAAAAAAAAGTAAAGATGCTGCGTTTAAACACTGCATTTTCTTCTGTTTTCATTACATTTCTGTGCTCTTAGGGCGTGATCCTTCACCACTGAAGTTAATTGGAGTTGTGTCACTGACCTCATTGGGAGCAGGAGCAGATAGTTAGGGTCCAATTCTGATACCCTTGCTGATCAGTTCCTTATTGCACTAGCCATTCCATTGTTTTTTCTGGGACAACTGCCAGAGTATTACTCAGTTCAAGTCAGGGTATAATTTGCAAAGTATGTCAAAGTTATGTCATGGCTAGAAAAAAAAAATCTTATTTCTCTAAATAGTTAGAAGACCAGTGGCAGACCCAGATTTAGGCAAGACCAGCGGTTCTCAAATTGTGGGTCGGGACCCCAAAGTGGGTTGCAACCTTCTTTTAATGGGGTCGCCAGGGCTGGCTTAGACTTGCTGGGGCCTGGGGCTGAAGCCTGAGCCCCACTATGCAGGACAGAAACTGAAACCTGAGGGCTTCAGCCCTGGGCAGCGGGACTCAGGTTACAGGCCCCTCCTGCCTGGGGCTGAAGCTCTTGGGCTTTGATCCCTCCCGCCCCACCTGGGGTGGTGGGACTCAGGCTTTGGCTTTGGGTCTCCCCAGAGCGATGGGGCTTGGGCAGGCTCAGGCTTCGGTCCCCCCTCCTGGTGTCGTGTAATCATTTTTGTTGTCAGAAGGGCGTCATGGTGCAATGAAGTTTGAGAACCTAGACCTCTCTCTCACTAGCCTGCTGATGGCCAGACATGTGGCATAGATGATCTGCTTGGTTTCTAGGGACCTAATTCAAAGCTCATTGAAGTCAACAGAAAATCTCTAATTTCGAAGGGTGGAATCAGGCCCTGGAGAAATAGGCCGTGATTCGGTAAGTTCCTTATGCCTATGTCTAATTTTAGGCGTGTGAGTAGTCCCATGCATTTAGCTGGGGCTTGCGTATGCTTACAGTTGAGACACAACTTTAAGTAACTTGATGAATTGGGGCCTTAGGCCATTTGGTCACTGCCATACTCTACACGGGCAAAAAAAGGTGGTTTTATTTTTTCAACTGAGTTAAGCTAACTTGATTGAAACCCCAGTCCCATAATTCCTTTCACATACTTGTAGTGAGGACATCATTTCACACCTTTAAAATCACTTGACCTGTAAGTAGGTAAGCTGCAATGTGACCAGACCTTCTAGGTATGCTCAAATGATCTTAAAGAAATGAAACTTTGTCTACATGGGCATTAAGGG